CAATGGCCATCAGTTCCCGCTCATAAACTGATTTCAGCCGTGCCCTAGCTGATAAGATCCGGCTAAAGAAGGCAGTCGACCTATGATTCTGCATGAGTACCGCTCCCAAACCCACTCCTAAAGCGTCAGTCTCAACCACAAACTGCTGGGTGAAATCAGGAAGTGCCAAAACCGGAGCACTAGTCATGGCTTCCTTCAGATTCTTCATGGCCTCCTCTGCCTTCTATCCCCACTGAAAGTTGTATTTTTTAGCCTCCTCCCATGTGCATCGTGGGTCCCCCTTGCTCCCATATGGCACGGTTCCCTTCCGGAAATCCCCCTACCTGATTCGGCCACCCCTTACGTGTGTCGTGGTGGCCCACCGAGCCCATGTATGGCCGGCTCCCTTGGCCGCCGGTCATCCCCCAAGGGCCGCCCACTCCAGACCCTTCTCCCCCTTCCTTTGACCATTGCCCCTGCACGCCATCTTCAATCTGGATTACTCCTTCCCTAATTGAAAAATTAGGGTTAGGGTTAGGGTTCGGCACCGGCGATTTCCCTTTTTCCGTAGGATTTGATTGAACCACTTGGGCTTCTACCAATTTACGGATCATCTCTTCCATTCCCTCAAATCTCTCCTCTAGGGTTAAGAATTTTCCCTCCAACGACGACAATTTCTCACCCACTTCCTCCTTCAAGTGGCCCATCTCCCCCTCCAAAAGTTCTACCTTCTTCGATGCCATGCCGTATAGGATCGAGTGCTCTGATACCAAATTGATACGCCCTAGGGTTTCTTAATTTCGGTTTTACCCTAATTCCCCTCAAATGAAGAGAATTTATCCACCAAATCCAAAGAAAAGCAATCACAAGAGAAGTGGGATGAAGAACAAAAACAATTGCATTGAAATTCAAGAGAAAACAAGCTAAGTTTGTCCAATTCGAGAAGGACAATGTCTCCCAATATAAACCTTAGAAAAAGCAAGAAGAAAATAAGAGAAAAGTTTCAATTAGCATAAAGAAAAACTGAACCCTAATTGCCCCCTTAATACAATCCGAAATTCCTCACACATCCCTAAATTATCCCTCCCAATCAGCCATCCATCCTCCCTCCCGATTTCCATCGCCCCCCTTGATGCCGCATGATCAAATTGGTGGGCCCATGGGGCCCACCGTGGTTTCTCCTTGCTCCCAGCGGCTTCGCCCGCCCCCTCTTCTCCGTTCGTAGACCCGCGTGGGTCCAGGGAGATGGACCGGGTGAACCGGTCCATCAAATTTCTTTGATAATCTTTTTACCAACCATTTTGTCTTACATCATGTATGGCTCTTAGCTAAAAAGTTAAAATTTTTCTCTCTTAAAAACCTATCTTGAAAGATTAATTTCTGATCTTTCAAGTTCTATCATTTTATCTTAAGCAATGTTATGTTTTAATTATTTTCTTTATATCCTAAGATGTATAACCTTAATTATTGTTTCATGTTGTGGGCCAAACTTCTTTTAAAATAGTCTTATGATCTCTATAAAAAAATTATTTCATTTTAAGTAAAATGTATATTTATGACTTAGTAGCTTCTTTTTTGAAAATAATTAACTAATCTTGATTCTTTAAATATTTATTCAATTTTATAAGATCATATGAAACTATGAAATCAAAAGTATATCCCATGGCAAGAATATCTCCTGTTCCACACCATCATATATCCTTTCATTAGCCACTTATTAAAACCTATGTACTTGTTTAAGTTACTCATAATAGGTATTATTTTGTTCATAAGGTATAAGTGTTTATGCATCATTTTTCAAAATTCAAAATTTAATACTATTTTATAATCAAACTTGTGGAGCAAAAATATTGACCACATTTCTAATATCATCATCACTAGTATTTAACATTTAAATGACCAAAATGATCTTTAAATTTCTTAAGTGTGCCCACTTAATCCCAAGTTTTTTTCAAGTGGGCAACTTAGTCTCTAAACTCTTCAAATCTTAATCAATTAAATCATATCATCAATTTTGTTATTTCTTTGGATGAAAACTGGTGAAGACAAGGTTGTTAATCACATTTGGGATTTTTGGGGATCAATTCCATTAGTTTGTGCTAATATAAAGTGGTGAGATAGGCTTTAAGAAGTCCTATTAAGTCAAAAAATGCCCTAATAAAAAGCTTCTCCCCACCAAGTTTTATTAAAAAAAAATATAAAGTTGGTTCCGATTTAGTGAGTTGAGCACTTAATTGAACTCCAAAAAAGGACTAAAATAAATACACCTAATAAGGCTGAGGACCATTTTAACATTTACTCTTAACTTAATAGCTATCATTCTAGCATTAATCTTATTCAGCTCATTAATTTATTTTTCAAGTCTCTATCTGCTGCCATCTGTGTCACATTTATAGTGTCAACCTTTCCAACATACAAAAACTTGAAAACTTTCTTTTATTGCTCTTGGATGTTTGTCTTTCAGTTTAGTTTCTTGATAAAAAAGCAATATTTATTCATCTTTTAACCATTTTGTCCACTATTCTCATTTTTCTAATTCTGAGTTTCCAAATTTCATATAGTAAGCCTAATCATACTTTAAGACCTCATCAACTCGTTCACATTTTTCATCAAAATTAAGTTAATTTTTGGCACATCATTTTTGGTGATATATCGTAGCCAACTCTTGCCTACTTTTTGTAGACCAGATTAAATTATGGTGCATCACTAATGGGTGACATCCTAACAAGCTTTTGTATACTTTTCACCACAATCAAGTTAGGCAATGATGCTTCACTTTTGGAACACCTTTGCACTAACAAAAATTTATATTTTGATTAATTTTAGAAGTTTCGCATGGTTTAATGATCGGTTGTACTTTGTGCTCAGCAACAATCACCAACCTTTCTCATTCGTCCCATCAACAAATAATTATGATTTTATGCATAAACATAATCATGATTAAAAAATTAATAAATGTTAAAAGCCATTTTTGAATTTTACTAAATAGATGATTCATCTTCTAGTGAGATTTTGATATTTAATGTGAATGCAAATCTTAGCTTGGCATTTAGAGAATACAAATCTTCTTAAGCTTCCATGTGATATAATGGTTAATATTATATAACACTCCGTATTAACTCAAAACTAATGGGATTTACTCATAAAAATCCCAAATGCTATTTTAGAAAGATTTCCTTCTCCAATTTTTCATCCAAAGAAACAACAAAATTGTCAGTATGATTAAATTGAGTAAAATTTGATGAGCTAAGAGATTAAATTGAACACCTAAAAAGGAAAAGAAAAATGGGGATTAAATGGGCACACTTAAAATTTTTAAGAATCATTGTGGTTGTTTACTCATTAAATTAGTTAACAGTGATGATGATATTAGAAATGTGTTAACATTTATGCTCCACAAGTAGGATTATAAAATAGTTCAAAATTTGAATTTTGGAATAAGATGGATAAACAATTACAACTGATACCTGAATAGTAAATGATATCTATTAGAACTGACTTGAACAAGTATACAGATTCTAATAAGATGGGCAATGAAAGGATCTATGAGGGTATCGAATAGGAGCAGATAGGCTTGCTATGGAAGTTATACATGATTTCATAGTTGCATATATTGAATAAATATTTAAAGAATCAAGAAGATCACTCAATTATTTTAAAAAATGAAGCTACTAACTCTTAAATACAGTTTTTACTTGGAAGGAAAGAACTTTTTTACAAAGATTATAAGGATGTTTTATAAGAAATTTGACCCACAACAAAAAGTAATAATTATGTATAGATTTTAGGAGTAAATAAAACAATTAAAATATAAAATTGCATAAGATAAGATGATAGAATTTGAAAGATTAGAAATTAATATCACATCAACCATTATTAGTTGGGAGCTAAAGAAGTTTAACCATTATACTCAAGAGGCTTTGCATTTGTAACATACTCCTGCTTACTTTTGGATGTCAGCTGTTTCATGTTCTTGCAAAATCTGGCTGTGTTTAGATTATGATATATGGAATGTATTTTCAATACGTTGAAAGGGTATCGATTTTGCAATCTCTTCATCATTTGATTTCTTAAAATTTTGTTTCAAGTTTTGTTTGGTGCAATGTATTTTAATACACTGCCTCTTCCAGTCACGCCACTAGTATTCCATTCTCTTTTTGGTTGAAGGAATAATGTCCCAGACCACCGATGCTTCCAAAACAGCCACTGCATCAATCCGACTGACTTAATAAAAGTTCAATTCCAACGAATTGAACAATCCACACAATTTTTTTTTGTGAAATTAACATAAAATAAATTAAAATTGAAATTATGCCAACCAAATAAACTAACCAGAAGTTATGAAAGACTACTAAACCATAGCAGCAGCATGTCCTTAGATAAATACCCTTTCTTGTTTAATTCTACTCTTTTTGGCCACCATCACCAGCATGTTCTTGAAATAAAATAATAAAATGAACGAAAATCAGTTGATGAAAAGAAACCAACAAATGAAAGAAAACACATAAATTGCATAAAAAATTATCTTTGATGTGATATGTGATGTGGAACATTTTAGTTATAGCACATCTTAGGAATAATTTATCTACCTTTGTACTAGCTTTCTAGAAAGTTCTAGAATATTCTAGAATATGTTATATATATTAGTTACAGTAGGAAAGGGGAGATATAAAGAATATTATGTTATTTGAGCACTGAGCTTGTGTTATTTGGTTTATGTTCTTATTCTAGCAGCTCCTTCTCAACGATCCCCACTGCATCATGTTGATTCGAATAAATGCAAAGATTTTATCAATAATCCTAGTATTTTTGTTTGATGTACCAGTCGACATTAATATATTGGAGTATTTCTCTTGAAAAATGCAGAAAAAACTGTCATATACAGCATCCCTAAGACCATAATGTTTTGTTTCAAGTTTTTGTCATGATATTTATTATATTCACGGTGCTCACTTACACATATAAGTTAGATAACCTGTAAATACTTAAACTTTCTACTGAATTATGTTCTTTTAGCACAGGCACCTTCCTAGGGTATTTGCACAATTTGATAATGCTGAAGGCTTCCTGTTCCTTCAGGATAGCATGGTTCTTAATTATTGGAACCTTCTGCAGGCTGACAAGGCCAGGCTTTGGATTACTAACAAGGTCAATCAATTTCAAGGCTCTTGGCCCTTATTTTCTTTCCTCTACCTTGATAAAATCTGCTGAACATTCCATATTATCTTGCCTCCTTTATCCAGGTCCCGCAATCTTGGGTATCGGTCTCCATTGATAGTAAGAGCTCAAAATGGTTTGTGGAGCAAGCGGCCATGGTGAAGAAGGTTGTGGACACTCTACCTGTGCACCTTCAGGTTAGTTACAAAGAGGGCACGAATGAAGATAAACTCATTATCTGCAGCAGTGAGGTTTTCTATGTTCCTCGTCACTTCGTCAATGACTTTGTGGACCTAGTGGGACTTGTGGGAGACCTAAATATACATCACAAGGTTGCGGTACCATTGTTTTTCTTAGCTATGGATTCTCAACAGAATTTTGATTCAGATGCCCTTGCCAGAATTGTTTATCAGACAACATTACCATCCAATGGCTCTTCCTTTAGTTATTATACAGCCAAAGCATCTGCTGTGTACCCTTTGAAGGTGCTAAATGAGCCAGATTTTGTAAAGCTCGTACAAGTCATGGCTTCAGGTGACCCTCTTCTGATGGAATTGGTATGATTGGCTGAGGAATTTTTTGCATTGTACACTCTTTGGAGTTCGATAGTGATTAAACAACTCCCTTTTTTGTGCGTGTTTAAGCTGTTTTGATTTAAGTTTTTAGAAATTTCCTTGTTATTATATAGAGTTTGTTTAGGACGGCTTTCTTATTGCTTTTTAAAGCTGTTTTCTTATATAAAAATTTTAATTTTGTATAAAAAAGCTGCTTTAAGAAGCAGTAAGAAAGCTGTCCCAAACAAAACCTTAGTCTGCTTCCATGTAACTTGTAAAATTCTCGTATGCATAGGCATATGTATTTTCACTTTTAGTTATATCAATCAAATTTTACAGAGCGCATAATCAAGTATTTCAAATATAATTCTACTACAAATTATGCTTAATATAATAAGCATAATTTTCTTTGATCCAAATCATTACCATTCTATGCCCCTTGCATTCTTTGATTCAAATAATTACCTTCCTATGCTTTCGCATCTTATAAAATCGTCTGTTCTGTCGAGTATTCGAACTTTAATGGCCCATTTGATCGTCTTAGATGAACAATGTGTTTAAAAAATGTTGATATTAGTTTTAAAATATCACCTTTAAAATGTGCTTCCATTAACTATGAAAATTAGTTCGTTGCCCGTTGACATCAATAACTTCATTGATCAAGGACCAAGTGTCCAGAAGCCATGCCAAATATTTCCACATAACTAAATCAAATTTGCAAAGGTCAATATCATTAGTGTGAGTACTAATCTTAAAGCACACCAATTTAATATTGCAGTACAAAATACTTCTATGGTAAGAGCTTTTTTTTTTTTAATAACAAACTTCCACGACAAAATGAAGTTCGTGTTTAAGATAAAATTGGCATGTTCGTTATATATGCTTTATTTTCATTTTGAAATGAAAGATTGAAGTTCGCTAACTTTTTGTTCACACTAGGGCGAACCAAATATAATTTCACAAAAATAACCCCACCAAAAGTTTAAGATATATATATATATACTAACTATACACATTAAAGATTAAAATTTAAATAATATTGACCGTTAGGTTATAAAAAAGAAAAAAAAAAAAAACATAATATTTACAGCAGAACTATCACCATATTCACATCTACCGTCTACTACAATAGTCAAAAGGAAAGGCCAATTGTGAAGAGATCTCAACTACGGGAGCGGGAGTCTCACTGCACTGTATTGCACTGCCAATCCAAAAAGCATTCACGGAATCACGGCCCCTGCTGCACGACGAGAATCAAAAACTCCGACTCAAAATCCGACGATGCAATCATGTCGCCGACAACCCCCAGCTCCGGGAACTCGCTCCACTCCTCCAGCTCATCATTAAGTATCGAATTCCATGAAAGCCGGCGCCCAACCATGATGAGGTCGTAGCCGACGCGGCTGAAGTTGCGGATAGCCGAGATTGTCTGCTCCATGTCGTTCACAAAGACCTCGTTCATAGAGGCGCGTAGATTGTCGGAGTTCTCCTTCCGAAAAGCCTCGATTACATCGTTGTCCATTTCCGCCTCTTTTCCATTCGACATCGTGGAGCTGGATGAGAGGAACCTGGTGATCGTTAGAGTTACGCCGGTGTGTCGCACCATGCGCGCCGCATAGGAAAGAGACTCGCGGTCATCCGGTCCGCCCCAGAAGAGTAGTCCGATGTGATGCTGGAAGTTGGCCGGCGTAGAAAGCACTGTAACGGTCAGGCCCATGTGCACCAGAAGCCCCACCGAGCATGGCGCCTGCACCATTTATCATATAAGAAATATGTTTTCATGATATTGGAATAATAACAATAATCAAGTTACCTTTGAAAGGATATGGGGGATGTTGGTTCGGAAGGCCTGGTCCTGTTCGCTGAAGCCACCGGAGGCATCCTTGCCAGGCAAAGGGAGGATAATGATAGCGACGCTTTTATCACCGGCGAGCGAGCAGATGTCCTGATGCATGGCCTTGAAAGGCGCGATGGCCGTGAAGGGCTGGACGGCGACGATCCCCTGCTTATCCTGCTCATAGTGGATGAAGGCGTTGTGGAGGCGGTCCATGTTGCTGGGATTGATGAACCCCTTCTTGTTCTTGTGGGCTATGAGAGCGGAGTTAGCTCGACCCGTCAGCTCTACGAGGTGGAGAACGTAGACGCACATTGGAGTCTCTTGGGTCGGGCAGGCGGCTTCGAGGAGCCCTAATATGCTGGGGATGTGGTCCTCGTTGAGCAGGCAAGCTAAGACGCGCATCTCTGCGTCGGGTCTGAGGTGTTGAATGTCTCTTCTGCCGATGAGATCATGGCCGAGGGGGCTGTACAGATGCTTTACGAGCGGAGTAGCGACGGAGGTGATGATGATGATGGTGAATACCAGCAAGGTGTAGCTCTCGTCGTCCAGCAGCTGCATCAAGTAATTTTACTAAAAGAAATTTGTGCAATCAATTTTACTAAAAAGACAAAAACTTACTGATCCATTCTCGAAATTCATGTAAGTAATCAACTCTATCACGCCCTGAAAATTCATCATAAGCCCCAATATGAATCCCTTCCGAAAGGAAATCCCGCAGTAGATCGCCGGCCCCATAGTCGCCAGCAACTTTGAACCATAGGCTATCAAAGCCAGCATAATCAGCACAATCCAACCCCTCAAATGCAGCACCACCAACGGCGTCACGGCCGCTCCCGCCACTGTAAACACCAGCGGCATTAACACCTCATTCACCATATTCCCAATCATCTCCACCAAATCAGTCCCCAAAGGCGGACCATCCGGCACCATTAACCCCATTATCAACGGCCCGTATGCAAATGACGCCCCCATCATCTCGCTCACCAGGCCCATCACGATCACGCTAACCACGATCGCATGCAGCAGCAGGCTGCTCACTCTCCCGCCCTTCGGCGTCCGCCGTGCGATCCAAAGCATCCACGGCCGGAAACCGAACACGATAACGCACACCATAAGCAGTATAGACCCCAACGCCCAGGCAGCTTTGCGCAGCCCGCCCTGGCTTTGGTTCAACATCGTGAACAGCGCCATGAAGAACCACCCCAAGATGCCGTGGACCATCGAGACCGACATCGCGAGGCGACCGAGCTCGGAGTTGAGGAGATTGAGTTCGGTGAGGATGTCAGAGACGACGGGGAAGGCGGTGATGGTTAGGGTGGCGACAAGAAATATGAGAAATTTGCCGCGGGCAATGCTGGCGCCGATGAACGTGCGGAGGAAGTAAGTGGCAGTCCCGACTAGAATGAAAGGGATGATTGAGCTGACTAATCCAATAAAGAGGGCCTTTTTGCCGGACTTTAGGACGATTTTTGGATCCATTTTGACGCCGATCAGGAAGAGGTAGAACATGAGGCCGAAGGCGGCTAGGGTTCGGTTGATGGCCATTTCTTTTTGGGGGTAAATAATGTACACGTACTTTGGGTATAGGCGGCCGATGAGGCGGGGGCTTAGGAGGATTCCGGCCTGAAAATGGATGCCTCCGTTATTAGCAAAAGGGGATGAAGAAAACTAAATTTTTTCCATAGAAAAAAAAAAATATAAATCAAAATTTTTAATGGCTATAAGATGATAACATATAAAAAACGCATAAGATACAATCACTTATTCTTACTAAAATATCACAAATGATGCGGGGCTGCTTGATAGGACGAAAGATGTAGTAGATGACACGAGACATGAGGGTGATAAGGATGATCTGCAATACAACGGTGGGGAGGGAGAAGGTGAAGGGGTTCTCCAAAAATGTTTCGAACGAGTAAATTATCGAACTGCGTTCATCATCAGTATCCAAGCATATTGTTGAAACACCTGCGAAATCCAGATCTGGCAAATCGAAGGAGCCATCAGTTACAATCTTTTTGCCTCTATTCGCCCAAATATCTACTAGAGGCGGAGCACTCACGTTGTCGTCGTCCATGACGACCCTGCAAGTTCTTCAATAAGAAATGTGGAGAATAAAGAGAAAACACAATAGTTTCTTGGGCTAATTAATGAGATGTTGGTTAAAGGAGAGAGTTGTCTTTACAGGGGATTGCCAATGTAGTGGTTGGTGGCTAATGGTAGTGGTCTCTCCTTGAAAGAATTTAGTTGATTTCATAGTTTTGCCTGTACTTCTGTTTGCTACCAACTTGCTCCTAATAGAGCCAATACTCCCAAAAAAGAAAAGGGAAATTTTTTGAAAAAATATTATATATAAATTTAAATAAGGTAGCTAATATTGGTCTGTTGGTTGAAAGTTTTAACTATCAACGAAGATGTCTTGAATTTGAATCTTGCCTATGTATGTGCTTAGGAGTTTACCTTACTTGGACTAAATGTCCCAAAAAAGAAATCTTAAAAATAGAAGAAAATTTAAATTAGTAAATAGATCAAGTTAGCACATCAATGATGATTTTCCACATGACTATAAGAGTGGTGACTTAGGTTTCGTTTGGGATGACTTTCTTGTTGCTTCTTAAATTAGCTTTCAAGTATAAAAATTTTAATTTTTATACAAAAAACTGCTTTAAGAAGCAACAAAAAAGTCATCCCAAACAAAGCCTTAATCTTTTTTGCTAATTTAATTTTTATTTTATTTTTAAATATTTAAATACATTTGATGAACAAGAATTTGATCATTACGATGAGTATAAAAAAAATGAGAAGTAAAGTATGATCCTTAATTCAAATAAAGTTGTTGCTGCATCTCAGGCAAGCGCGATCAAGTAGAGTGCAAATTCAACCAGTCCACATGATACTATCATTGGAAAGCTAGGCTCGAATATGTATATGATTTAGATTTTGACCTATTGAAGAATTCAAAAATCAAAATTTAAAAGAAATTATATAAGAGCTAAATATTAGATAAATAAGAATTTAAGTAGTTCAACTAAAGCATATTAGCTATGCTCACGTGGCAGTCAGTCACTGGCTTATTAATTCTGTTTCAGCCAAATCATGTAATATTTTACTTATAAATATAGCCTCTGTAACAAGAACTGTTTAATGAAAATCTATCTTTACTTTCATCTTTTCTTCTTCCTCTCTCTGCTTTCGTTTATCCACATGGTATCAGAAGTCCGGCATTGATCCTCCAGTCATGCCAAACTCAACGGCGGCATCCTCTTACGTCGATCAAGCTGCTTCCACCCTCCCAACAGCTGAGTTCTTCAATCCTCAAATTCCCTCATCTCTCAAATTTCTCATGAGCAATGTCAAACATGTCGTTGCTCAACCCCTTACAGCGGACAACCATGCTCTGTGGAGGGCTCAAATCCTCAAACTCTTTCGCGCAAATGGCTACGAAGGTTTCTTGACTGGTATCACCACATGTCCGGCCCAAGAATCTTCCACTATCTCCTCAACGGCGACGCAGCAATCCCCGCATAGCACCTGGATCTTGATCGATCAGAATCTTGCTGCTGCGCTATACTCAGTTATCTCGCCTGCAATCTTACCCTACGTGCTCTCGGCGGAACATTGCAGTGATATCTGGGCGATCTTGGATCATCGTCTTCAATCATCCACTAGATCTAGAATCAGTCAGATCAAGAACGAACTGTATGTTCTGACTATGAAGGATAAAACCATGAGCCAGTATCTTCTTGATGTAAAATCCAAAGTTGACGCACTCGCCGCTGCCGGATCCCATCTAGATGCGGAAGAAGTGATTCACTATACCCTTAATGGATTACCCAGCACATACCAAGCTTTCAAGACGGCCATACGCACAAACCTCCGACCTGTCACCTTAGACGAACTCTACACTCTTCTTTGCAGCGAAGAGCTAAATTTGGCTCACGAAACGGCCAAAGAACTCCAATCTTTACAGTTATCAGGTCACTCTACTGCCCTTACTGCCACTAGAGGGCGTGGCCGAGGCAGAACTTCGGCCAACAGAAATCGCGTTGATAATCGGAACTCCAATCCGAATTCCCGCACTGGAAAGGCTTCCCGACCGCTAATCACCAGCCAAATTTGCGGCAAGAACGGTCACTCTGCGATTAAATGTTGGCATCGTCACGACGACACCTACAACACCGAACCTGCCTCCGCTCTTTTCACGTCGCCTACTACTCAACCGGCGGCAGAATGGTTCTTGGACAGTGGAGCTTCTTCGCATCTAGCATCTGATCCTACCAATGTTCTTCACCCGCAACCATATCTCGGCTCTACTCAAGTCACTCTCGGCAATGGTAATACAATCCCTATACACACCACGTGCAAAGGAATCCTTCCTACGCCCGCAGGTAGTCTAAAACTTTCTCACCTCAATCTTGTTCTTAATCTTGCTTTCAATTTACTTTCGGTTCATAAGCTTACATCGGATAACAACTGTGATATAATCTTTTCCTCCTCTGGTTACACAATTAAGGATCGGAAGACCCAATGCCCTCTTCTCACGGGTCCGTGTATTAACGGACTATATCCGCTGCAGCTCAAAGGTTCTCCGCAAGATAGGAACAAGCAACTCGCCTTGCTCTCCATACAACATATTCCGGACTTATGGCACCAAAGGCTAGGCCACCCGTCCAGATACACCTTAGCAACTATTGCTCATGCTCACAGCAGTGTTCATATCTCACCGAAAATTTTTTCTTGTGATTCTTGTAAAATGGCCAAGAGCCATCGCTTACCTACTAGCATTTCACAAACTATTATGCATTCACCATTGTATTTGATTCATTCTGATGTTTGGGGTCCTGTCCAAACGGGTTCCAATCAAGGCTATTTTTACTACGTTTCGTTTATTGATGATTTCTCCAAATTTACATGGGTTTATCCATTGATTCATAAATCAGACGTTTTCTCTAAATTTATTGAATTTCAAAACTACGCAGAACGCCAATTCAGCCGAAGGATTCATATTCTACGAACCGACAATGGCGGCGAATACATCAACAACAAATTCAAGACTCTTTGCAATCACAACGGCATCATCCACCAAACCTCTTGCCCGCACACTCCCTCTCAGAACGGTGTCGCAGAACGAAAGCATCGACATCTCATCGAGACTACGCGTGCTCTGCTCCTACAAGCCTCGGTACCTCAAGCTCTTTGGGTTGATACATTGCTCACTGCCACTTACCTGATCAACCGGCTCCCATCTCCGAACACACATCAAAAATCTCCCTACAAAATTCTGTTCAACAGAACTCCCGACTACACTCACCTCCGAGTGTTTGGATGCCTCTGCTACCCATGGTTAAAACCATACTCAAACAACAAATTATCCAGAATTTCCACACCCTGCGTCTTTATCGGCTACCCTATATCCCAAAAAGGATATCGCTGTCTTGACCCGATCTCTAACAAGGTTTATACATCTTGCAATGTTATCTTTGATGAAACCCAGTTTCCCTTCTCCAACACAGCACAAGGCACAAACTCTCATTCAGACAACCATACTGTCACACCGCCACTTCTTCTGGTTCCCACTACTCATTTACCTTCACATCTCAAACCAACACAACACGCTACATACCATCCCCCCAACACATCTTCTACGACTGATTCCACTTTCCCCACCACTCCCGATTCCCACAGCAATACTGCCTCTATTACTAACACCGCTCCAAATACAAACATCTCACAAGCTGCGCAGCCCGCTGATAACAGCGGTCAACCAACCCATCACATGATAACACGGCTCAAAAGCGGGAACTCTAAACCAAAACAAATCTTTGATCTGCTCCACTCAACTCACACGGACGAACCTACCACCTATACACAAGCAGCCAAATCGGAAAAATGGAGACAGGCAATGTCACAAGAGTTTCAAGCATTGCAAACACAGGGTACGTGGGAGCTAGTACCTCCAGCAAAACATCAAAACATATTGGGTTGCAAATGGACTTTTCGAACTAAATATAACTCGGATGGAACGGTAGCTCGATACAAAGCTCGTCTGGTTGCCAAAGGATACAATCAAGAACACGGAATCGATTATACCGAGACTTTCAGCCCCGTCGCCAAAATGCCCACCGTCAGAATTCTAATCCTTATAGCACTTCATTATAACTGGACAATTCACCAACTCGATGTATCAAACGCCTTTCTCCACGGCTCACTCTCGGATATAGTCTACATGCAGCAACCTCAAGGTTTTCAAGATGCCCTTCATCCGAACTACGTATGCAAATTAAAGAAAGCTCTGTACGGACTCAAACAATCTCCCCGAGAATGGTACTCAACGCTTTCAAATCATCTTACTCGGTATGGGTTCACCATCAGCACATCCGACTACTCCCTGCTTACCTACAACTCCGGCAACGTCCAACTCTACGTTCTGATATACGTTGACGACATACTCATAACAGGTAACTCTCCTACTGAAATCAATCGTCTATTTTCTAATCTTCAATCCACATTTCAGATGAAAAATCTCGGCTCCCTATCCCAATTTCTGGGCATTCAAACGATCAAAACAAGCACCGGCCTCTTGTTACACCAGCAATCATACGCCCGCAAAATTATAGAACGCGCCGGAATGAGCAACTCAAAGCCCGTATCAACACCTATGGCGTGCAAACACAGCGTTCGGGACAACTCCAACGTAGAATTCAGCAACCCGATCCTATATCGGCAACTAGTGGGCTCTCTACAATATCTCACACTCACCCGACCAGACATCTAGTTCGCCGTTCATCAACTATCGCAGCACATGCATCAGCCTCTCAACTCGCACCATGAGTCCCTCAAGCGACTTCTACGATACATTCAAGGCACCACAGACACAGGCCTCCCGCTCCAACGAACCAACTTGATCCTTTGTGGATTCGTTGATGCTGACTGGGCTACCAACACGCAGGACCAAAAATCGGTCTCAGGCTACTGCAATTTTCTCGGTGATTCTCCTATTTCCTGGCAAGCCAAGAAGCAGAACACCATAGCTCGCTCATCTACGGAAGCAGAATATCGTGCCCTTGCATCGGAAGCCTCCGAAGTCTTATGGCTTCGCCGTATTCTGTCAGATTTCCATATCCCACAAACACAACCAACTGTCATCTACTGTGACAACACTTCGGCGATTGCCCTCGCCAACAACCCCATATTCCACGCCAGAACCAAACACATCGACGTC